CGGCCGGGAGACGGTGCCTCCAGGTGGGAGTGGGGGGTGGCGGCGGGCTCCCCCTCGCGCTCTCCTCTGCCTCTTGGGCAATATCCTGCATCCTTGGCTCGCTGCTCCCAGCCCAGCCGCCCCAAAGCTGCGCTGCGCTGCGGTCCTCTTGCTGCCTTTGCTCCCCGCCTCCCTGCGCTGTCCCCGCTCCCGGCCTTCCCGCGCTGGCTCCTTGCTGGGCTGTAGGGCAAGGGGCGGGGGGTGTGCCAGGGTCGGGGGCGAGCAGCTCCTTGCAGGCTGGAACCCCTCAAGGCAAAAGACATGGTGGTCCATGGTTTTTCTTTCTGTAAAAGAATCCATTTTTAAAGTTTGTTAGGACTCTTTCGTACATTTCATGGGTGACGGGGGGGGGGGGGCCCCCCCCCGCCTGGGGGGGCCCCCCCCCACCACAGTCTGGGGGGGCTCCCCCCCAGCAGCCAGTCGGCCACCGGGGGCAGGGCTCCCCCAGCAGCCAGCTGGTGGCCAGTTTCAGGGCACTGGCACTCTCCGTGTCCCCCTACCAGCTGGCGTGCTTGCTGTCTGGTGGCACCAGCGCTCTCGGGAGGGGCACGTGCCCCCCTGTGCCGTCCCTATGCCTTGCCTGTGGTACACTCTCAGTAGTGGCAGATGACTGAAGGAGGAGCAGTGGTCTTGCATTGCAGCATGGAAAGGTTTGGGTTAGATATTAGGAAATAATTTTCTCACTAGGAAGGTAGAAAAGCACTGGAACAGGTTGCCTAGACAGGTTGTGGACTCTCCATCCTTGGAGGTTTTTGAGCCCGGGATAGACAAAGGTTTGGTTGGGATGATCTAGTTGGGCATGGTCCTGCTTTGAGCAGGGAGCTGGACTCACTAGATCGGTGCTTCTCAACCTTTTGCACCTTACATCCCACCAACCATTTTCTCAGAAACCCCTGGTCCCACCATGATAAAAACAAAACCCCACAAAATTGCACTGCTTGAGATGTCTGTTGATTCATCTAGTTGAATCAATAAATATCTATTTGAATAATCTATTTGAATCTGTTTATTCATTTATTTGAATATCTGATCTATCTTTCAACTGAGCAATGAATTGAAGTCCCACCTACACAACCTTCGAGTCCCACCAGTGGAACATGTTCCACTGGTTGAGAAACACTGCACTAGATGACTTGCTGATGTCCCTTTCAACCCTCATTTTCTATGATTCTGTGGTCATAGGGTGCTGTGCCCAGCTGGCTTTGCTCTTTGTGTGAAAGCTACACTGAAGTTGGACAGAATGGGGTTGCTGGTCCGCTGAAGAGTGTAAAGGGTTGGATTTGAGTGGCTTTTGTGACTCCCTGAAAAACTGACTTGTCAGACACAGCCTAAAAGACCCTCTTCCCAGTCTGGGGTGAGGCTGCCCTTGTTGAGCAGGGACTGTAATGCACCTTGAAGGAAGGGAAACACTGTATTTTCATGGCTTTATTGATTTTTCTGGTATGAAGTTGTCTCTAGAAGGAGAAATTTCAGGGCTGCTTTGGGAAGTCAAGCAGGTCCATAATTCTTTAAGTTGTAGCAGCAGTCTAGCCTTTTGCTTTGAAACAGCAGTTCTCAACCTTTTTTGTACCAGGACCCATTAGTAAACATTGATGGTCAGTTCCAATGTGCCCCTCACTCCTGATCCTCTGCCCCCTGCCCTTAGGTCCCAACCCCCCAGTGTGTGGGGCAAGGGGTGGCTGTGTGGGGTATGGGGAGCCCCAAGCAGCCCCTTGCAGGCTGCAACTCTGCCAACCTGCAAGGGAAGAGCCACGGTTTGCCCCCGCCCCACTGCCCCCGCTCCCCTTTTTTTTTCTCCTGTAAAGGAGAATCCATTTTTAAAGTTTGATCCATTTTTAAAGTTTGTTTGAACCCTTTCATACATTCTTGCAACCCACTTTTGGATCATGACCCACCGGTTGAGAAACACTGCTCTAGGAATCCAGAGGTTGAGCAAAAAGCAACAGTGAAGTTAAAAGCAATGCATTTATTTATTTATTTATTTATTCATTGATATGGAATACAGCAACCCAATGACAGAACAAGCTATATACAACATATAAAGTAATAAGGCTAAAGCAGCATTTTTTGATTTGATATCCTTTGCAAGGCATCATCAATAGCCTGGTGCAGGTCTTCAGTGCAACTAGGATGTAGGTGATGCATGGCAGGGGGAAAGGGGGAGGCACGTGCCTCCCCTGAGATTGGCCCTTGCTGGCTGGTGACCCCCCCCCCCACCAGAAGCGCCGGCAGCACTTCCAGTTTTGCTGCTGGTGCTTCCGGGCTGAGCGATTGCCTGCTGGGGAACCCTCCCTCATCGGTGATCAGCCGCTGCCCCCCACCCCCCGTCAGCAATGGGCTGCTGGGGCCCCCCTAGAGTCAGGAGGCACTAGCTTCCCATGAACCAGTACATACTGAAAGCACTGCTTGAGGAGCAGATGGGCTGATGATCTCTACCTGTTCTTTGAATGTATGTTTGTGAACTGATTGTGGTAGAAAACATCAAAGTGTGTGTAAGGGATGAGGAGCTTTCTTTTACAGCATGTTTAACAAAATGTAACGGGGTGGGGGGGGAGGATACACGCAGGTGTGTATACGTGCATACATGTTGAGGGAATAAGAATTTCCCACATAAATACTACAGGGTCATAGTCCATTACCCAATGTCCAAATTCTAACACAAGTGTGTGTAAAATATATATTACACAGATGCATATATAGTATATCTGCACACACGTTACAAATGTTTGGATGTTGGCTAATGGTCTGTGATCCTGTTTAACAAGTATTTATGTGGGAAATTCTTATTCCTCCAAATGAGCCTGTTAATCTCAATGGGGTTTCATGAGTGAATAATGTTCATGGGTTGTTTTTTTGTTTTTGTTTTTGAAAGATGCTCTGTGTATAGAAAGCTATGGGCTCCTGTAGAGCCCTAGTGAAGCCAAAGGGCTTCTGTGGATGCAATTTGGAGGATTGAAGCTGGCCTTAATGTGTAAAATTGTATAATCTACATCAAGAGAATCATAGCTTTAGAACTCTAAATGGCAGAACTGTAAAGTAACTTTATTTTTTAAATCCTTATCTTGGATTATTAACTTCAAGGTCACAGTGGGTAATGTTTTTTTTTTATGTGTTTTGCACAGTTGTATGCTTTTTTTCTTCTCCATGCTTCCCATATGCATCTTGCAAATTTTACCTCTGTTTATGATCTAATGCAAACATTTTATTTTAAGAGAATGGTGGGCCAGAAGTGCTCAGCAAAGAGTCCAGCAGGCTTACCAGAGAGCAGCTATTCACAATTATAGCAACAGCGTCTATTAACTTCAGTTCAATGATATGCTATTCAATCCTGGGACCCTTTTTTCCAAGAGAGGTAAATGAGTATTCAACTTGGCAAGCTGTACAATTATTTGCATTTTATGTAGCTTTTAAATTCTTAAGAAAAGAAGACTAACTACATTTGTGTTGCAGCATCACCAGTGCAATGTGAGCTGTGCCAGACAGGGTACATCTACATGTACATTAAGGCACTTTTTAAGCTGCATTAAGACGTATTAAATTTAATATCTCCAATGTAAGGGTGTCTATACATGAGTAAGGCATAGGCACCCCTCCTCCCACACAGTTCTGGAGCACATATATAAAAGGCCTGAGGTACTAAAAAATGAGCATTTGGCTACCTTAATGCGCAGAAATGAATGTGCCTGGTTTTTAAATAACACTTAATATGCGGTAGCCTATTTTACTGCATGCTAGCATAATCGCATTTTTTTTTTTTACGTGACACTTTAACGCACAGTAAAATTGGTTACTGAACATTAAAGTGCATGTGTAGACATGCCCACAGTGTACAAATGCATGGTGAAAAAGGATACCTGGCCCAAACAGCATGCTGCCTCTAAAGGTAAAGCTGAGAAATTGGTGGGAGGGGAATGGTAATGGAAAAATAGACAGGCCAAAAGCATTTTGCTGGAGGTTACATAGCAGGTTTTGCAGACCTGGTCCAAGTACAGACCATAATTGATAACTGTTATCAATTATCAGAAATCAGTCTATACCCATAATAGAAGTTTGAAACACACAGACTGGTTTAAAAATGGCAGAACCTGGTCAAAGATTTGCCCCCCACACCAAAGGGCAAATATGTATTCTGGTCACTACCAATCTAACCTACACTGCTTAGAGAAAACCATGGAACTCGGATCAGTTCTGTCTTGGACATTTTGAATGTCTGTATCTAGCCCTGGGGATAACATTGGAGTTCTGTTCTGGTGTGTTCCCTTCTCGATAAGTTTTTTTTTTTTCCCCTCTCTTTGCTCACCTGTCAGCTTTCAGAATTCTTGTTGCTACTGCTGCTGCAGAGTAAATCTCTTAGTGTCTGCTGGCCAGCTCACTGCTATATGGGGTAAAGAGAGCTAAGGATTTTCTCCCTGAATGTTGGCAGCATGTTGTTCCCATCCAGATGCCTTGTGCTTCAAAGATGGTTCCCAAATGTTGTAGAAACACTAGGATGTATAAGCCAGCATTCCCTATCTCTGTCAGCACTGGATCTGCCCTGGATTTCTTTCCTCTACCCTCTGTGCATGCTTATTAGTGCGACTCCCATGGGAAAGAAAAGCATATTCTCTTTTTCCAAATAACTTCTGTGGGGCCACTTTATCTTCTTTTTGCCCAATACACATTTTCATACCTGTGGCAGAATGCCCTTTATGATATCTTGGGATATGGAGACAAGGGATTGATGCTGTGAAGACAGAAGACTTTATTGTGCTGCTGCCTTGCAGAAGGGGTAGTGAGATCAGGTGACATCTATATGCTTGCCATCTGTATACATATTTACTGAATGAGTTCTGCCGTCTGTAAAGTCTTGCCTCCTGACAAACTAGGGGTAGGAGGGGCACAGAGGGTGTGGGGGGGGTGGGGCACAGTGGTTTAGAACTGCCACTGTTACTGTTATTTCTGTGTGCTTCCTTACTGTTACTTTTTTCTTTAAGAAATTTCTTTGTGATCTGTTCAATGTAAAGAAGAATGAAAATGATGTAGAAGTGATTTAACTTAGTAGTAATGTTTTGCTTTGTGAGCAGCACTTTTGTTGTTGTCCTTTGTTCTAAGTCTGGCTGTCACAATATTTCCTTTTACAGGCATTGAAGAAGGGCGCCAGTAACACAGTTGTTGGACTGATTTTTGGATGCTTTGCTTTATTCAATTTCTTGACTTCTTTAATATTAGGAAAGTATGTAAGTATATCTAAAGAGTTTTAGTACTGTCTTTATAGAATAGTTCCTAACAAACTTGCAAAGAGCTCAAACTGACAAAAACCCATTTCTGTGATCAAAAAAAAAAAAAGGATAGCTGTTCAGTGGCTTGGAAAGTTGACATAGGCTTTCTGACGTATTCTCTCTGTCCTCTAGCAATTATGGCCAGGGAGCCTCTTCCTGTAATTTTCATTGTTCATATTGGCATCAACGGTTCAGACAGAAATGGGGAGGAAGCCCAGCGCTGTGATGACCATCAGCAGTTGCCCCTCAGACTGCAGTAAACTGTCTTAATAAAAAGCATGGTTATCTGGCTGAACAACCAGCCAGAGAGGGTTAAAAATGATGGTCTGAATGCTAGGATTTTTTGAGGGGGGGATTGTTTATTTGCTTTGTTATGGCTTTAAAAAAACAAAACAAGGTTCTTGCAGGCTGACCTCCAAGGAAAGGAAGGAGTCAAAAACGCAAGCAGAGTAGATTCCAGAAATGCTGTGATCAAAGCTGTCCTCTTGCTATAGGACTACCAAAACAACAGGCAAATCATACTTGAGGTCTTGTGAAACACTTCCACAATCCTTTCAAAATTCTCCCATCTCCTTAAGCTTCCTTTATTTACAGTTACTAGATTTTGTATAGCCAGTGTGATTGGTGTTAGAAGTGTAATGTTTCAAGGCCCCCCCCCCCCGCCCCAAACTGTTGATGAGTCCTTACCTTTAAAAAAAAAAAAAAGAAAAAAAAGAAAAAAAGGCTTTTACCTCAAATTTTTAATTGGGTGCACAGACCACCTCAGGGCCCCCACCCTGCTGTTTTTTTTTAAACTACTGTGTTGTTTGTTTGAAGGAGAGCGACGTTAAACCTGTAGGCTGCCCATACATGTGCTGGTCTGTGTTCTAATTAGAATGCTCCAGTGTGGCCTTCCCATCATCTGTATAAGCCCCAGCATGCTTAAAAATGGCTGCTGGGGTGCTTTATCGATATTTCATAGAACGAAGTTTAGCTAAAGCGTCCTGCAGCCATTTTTAAACCTGCGGGGGCTTAATATATTTGATGGTGAGGTGTTTTAATTACTGTGATTCTCTGGGAACCATTCTAATTAAAACACCCCCTCCACCCCTGAGCATGTGTATAGGCAGCTGTAATGCCTAACTCCAACAGGAAAGCTTCTTTATATAAAAAAGGTATTTAGAACAAACCAATGATCTTTGGAGGAGGAAGACATTTTTGCCACTGCTGTCTTCTACAGTGGGTTTGCCTTGCTTCACTTGGTACTTATTAATTGTACCTGCTTACTTTCTGCCCACACCTGTTGGCATCTTCATATTTTTTGCTAAGCCAGGAGATTGCATCACAGCCAGCTTTGTTTGGACACAGTTTTTGGGCATTTGATAATAGCTGCAAGTGTTTTCCTCCTTTTCCTAGGTATAAATTGTCTGTTGGGGTTGCGTTATAGCTGAGAATTGCTCTGGTGAGAAAAGCACAATTCAATGTTAATGGGAGAGATGTGGATAGTCCATAGCAGAATTCTGGCTTCAGTAAAATTTGCTGCAGTATCAGGGACACTTCTCAAAAACAAACAAACAAACAAACAAAAAGGAATGTGTGTTTGCATTGAGAGGATTCAGAATGGAATTGGAAGCCCACTAGGGTTGTTTGCCAGACTTAGCCCTGGGCCATGCCTAACACCATCCATTTTCCAGTTGGTAGGCTATGTTATGAATGCAGATTGTGCTATCTTGGCAGTCTAGCAGTACTGAGAAATGGGAGAAAGGAAGTGCATTCATTTGCGCACGTCCTACTACCCACTGCTTTACAGCTTTCTACTTCAAAGGCAGTAGTTAGTTATTTTTTTAAGCCGGCTTCTAGGAGAAGCTCTTTTCTGTCCCCTTGTCACCTCTGGATAACAACTTGGCACAGAGCCTGCATTTACTGTTTTCTGGGGCTTTTGCAGCTTGTGGTATCTGCTCAGTTGTTTTAGATTAGACTTCTTAATCAGTAGTTTGCTAGATATCTGATGAAGGGGGAAGCTGGTTAAAATAGCTGTTCATCAAGTTTATTACCACCAAGATACCTTGCCATTGGCAAGCCTGTATGTGTAGGGGTGTGTCGCTCTTACATCACCTTTAGAAATGCATGCAGCACTGTGACAGTTGAAAGCACCAGGGAGTTGCCATGGTGAAAACTAGGCTAAATCACATAGCCATTTAGTAAGAAGCAAGGGTTTCTTAGGGTGCTATTCTTGTTGGACCATTTAGATTTTTCTTAGATGTGCTAGTGAGCCAGTTACTGACAGTCACATTCTCCAGTTTATAATTTTTTCATGCATTTTCTCAACTACATCAATGACTTTTCAAACTGTATTGAAGAGGCAATAAGTACATGTAACTAATTTTTTTTCAATTTCAGCTTGTACAGATTGGAGCAAAATTCATGTTTGTGACTGGGATGTTTACATCGGGGTGTGTTACTATTCTATTTGGGTGAGTCATTTTTTTCCTTTGTCTCTCCCATCTAGCATGAACACTCTCGTGTATTTGACTTGCATGAAAAAATAGATCTGGTTTAAAACAAAGGACTAAGAGCTGGAAAATCTTAAGAAGTATTTTTAATCTTGAGTGGGTAACTTAACTTCCCTGTGCCTTTGTTTTTTTGTGGCTTTGAAGAAAATGTTCCTAGTTTTGTGGGGTTAAAAAGGTCACTTCATTCTTGGAAGGAGGGTAATATAAATGCAAGTAAATGTCATATTTGTTGGAGAAAAAAAGACCTGGTTATGTATGGTAGTAAAAATTACAGTTTGCCAGCCTTACCAAATAGGAAGGCTTTTTGGGAAAAGTCCATTGCAAATGAGAAGATTTGCCTGACAACTGTATGGCCTATTACATTTTGCCTGCAAGTCACCTCTTAAAAAAGGGTCCTAGTTCATATTATGCATGTTTAAAGCAGTCAAACTGAGTCAGTTTCGTGACAATGAAGTTTGGCAATACTAAAAGGAGCGACAGAAGAAAGTCCTGGAATTTTTTCATGTGGAGGAAAGAAGGATATCCTTCTTCACATACCCATTCTCTTTTTGGTGGTGGCAAGGAGGAAAAAACAAGCAAGGACACTTGAGAGAGGTTGAGTGACTTGCCTAGACTGCAGCAATAAAAGACCTATAACTCTCCCTGATTCACTTGTAATTGTGTGCTACAGCCACTAGACCATGCTGCCACAGATATTGAACAGTCATGTTTTAAGGATTCTTTTGTTTACTCTTTCAGCATGCTGGACAAAGTGCCTGATGGACCAGTATTCATTGGTTTGTGTTTTTTGGTTAGAGCAGTGGACGCAATAGGTTTTGCTGCAGCAATGACGGCATCATTTTCTATCCTTGCAAATGCTTTTCCTAATAACATAGCTACGGTACTGGTATGTACAAAACTGGACATCATAGCAAATTATAACAAATATTCAGAGCAATGTGTAATCATACTTGCAGTCAGTATAAGCAGGATGGATAAAAACCTATTTTGTTACTGTTTTATTTATATAAATAGCAATTTTAACAAACCTGTTTTGAAATTGTTACCCCAATGTAAGTAGAGGCTTTAACAGAACCTATTGAAATAATTTTTAAAAAATTCAAGCACTGAGTGCTTACTGCTAAACTTTTAAAGCAAGTTGGACTAGTGAATTGATGGAAATCACTGGCTAATCCCTAGAATCAGAGTATGTTCTAGTGCCAAGCTTTTACAGGGATATCCTCTTCAAGTGCAGAGAGAACATTTTTAATTTCTGTTAATTCAGTCAGTTCAGTTTCACTACTGATAAAAAAAAAAAAAAAAAAAAAAAAAAAATTAAATGGACAGGGGTTGGAAAGACGAAACGACTCTTCTTCCTCCTCAATCTATAAATAAAAATCAGATGCAAGGGGATGAGATCTACTACTTCTGAAATCTTGAAAGAGATGGTAACCAAAGACAACCAGCTCACTTTACTCATTAGAGTTGTACTTTGCTAAATTAGTTTTACATTTAAAATATTTTGGGCGTTTTTTTTCTTATCCGGTACACACTTTTTTACTTATTTTAGTTAATTATGACCCTAAAACACTGCTTTAGGGCATTTAAAATTGAAAATGGAAGTATAATTTGCTACTTTGGGTAGCCAAGAGGAAACTATGTTCACAACAGTAATTATATAGATTAAAATGCAAATGCAAAATAAAATTAAAAAATTAAATCAAGATTTTCTGCTTTTCACTTGGATTTAAACCAATCCACCCTGGTGTAAATTGTCTACAAGCTTATCTATCTTAAACAAAACAATATATATGAAGAACTAGTTATGAGACCAGTGCAATAAAAATCATGCAGGCCTGGGTGTAGAACAATAACGATGCAAGTTTGAACTAATTTAGTAACACAAGAATATTAGGAAGAGCCAGGAAAGCAAAAACTCTTAGGAGTTGTATAGATTAATCTGTTTTTCATATATAATATAATAATAATGTTGCACTAATGGCCTTCTTCAAACCTGAATAGAATATTATTGGAAAGAAACTGAAATAGTTTTTTTTAAGGCAACCACATGAATCTGTTGATAAAAACTGAAGTAAATGACTGGAGAAAATAGTTTGTCCTTGTTTTCCATCTTGTACTTTAACTAGTAGGGAACTAAGCCTCCTCCTCCTCTTTTTGGGGGGGGAGGAGGGGAGGGGTGGAATGGGGTAGGGATGTTTTCTTTAGACCACATCCATTCTCACGGGACTGATACAGATTACCTATACTGTTGGTCAGTTGCCGCTGTAGAAGATACAAAGCATCTTGCTTTAAAAGCAAGCCAACATCAATGGGACATGGGATGTCAAAGTAAATATGGCTAGAGACCTGGAGTAGGATTTCGCCTTGCAGTCTGAATTCAATAGTAAACTAAAAAATGATTAGATTATTTATTTTTAGGAAAGCCAAGTAAACTTAATTAAAAAAAAAAGAAAAAGATCAAATTTCTACCTTAGAAAAAGAAAACTGATATCCCTCTATATTCTGATATAACACTGTACTCCTCACTTCTCAGCACACAAATACTGCCCTCATCTTAAAAAACAAACAAAAAAAACCCAATCAAAGAAAAACCCCAAATAACAACAAAACAAAAGCCCAACCTTGGAGTTAGCTCAAAAGAGACTAAGTGGAAACTTAGTGACCCAAGTCTACACTTAAGTTGCCAGTATAACTTTGGCAAAGGATACATTGTGGGTGGATCCAGGATTTCCTAAAGCAGGTGAGGCATATTGCCCCTTAGACTACGAGGGGATGGGAGTGAGGCTTCACTGGAGCCCCTAGGTCAGCAGGGGACAATGGGGAGGAAACAGCCACACACAGGTGGGGGAACTGCCTCAGCAAACACTGCTGCAGCTATCCCCAGCTGACCTTGGGGTATGGGTGGTGGGGGTGGCCATTCCTGTTGCTGCCCTACTCCAGCCAGGGTCTGTGGGGAGTTGCTGCGTGGTGTGTTGGGCTTAGCCAGGGACAGTGGTGGTTGCATACAGTTTTCTCCTTTCCACACCTGCCCCTCTGCCCCCATTGTCCTTTGTTGGCCAGGACGAGGAGCTGGGAGGAGAAACTGCGCTGCTGCTGCCCCCAGCTGAGTTCAGCTCCTTTTATGGCTGCTTCCTGTAGCGCAAGGCAGGAGTTGGTCAGGAGTGGCTTGGGGCTCCCCCTGTGCCTGTATCAGCCAGGGACAGCAGTTCCTCCTTCTACACCCTGCTCCCAGCCACTGGGGGATACCTGTGTGGGAGGGGCAGGCAGGGAGCAGGTGGTGGAAGAAGGAACTTGCTCGTTGTTGTTGCTGTAGCCTGCCGAGCCTGGCACCCTGTGCAGCCACAACTCGCAACTAGAGTGGGAAAAGAGCACCCGGATCAGCCAGGGACAGCCATACTGACTGGGGGGGCATGTCTGCACCCCTCCCCCGCTTCCACCCCGCATCTGTCCCGATGTGTGTATTTTTTTTTAAAGCCAATATTGTTATGCTGGTAAAAATCCTAATTTAGAGGTCGTTTTATCATTAAAAGGTGCCTTTTTAATATAATCTAATATTTATTAATTCTTTAATAATATATACATTTAAAATAGTTATTCTCCTTCCTATATAGGGATAGCTGTCCCAGTAGAGTACTTCTGCTTTCACTCTGCTAGTATAGATATATCAATTACAGCTTCTTGTGTACATTGTATACATCATCTACAACTTACAAATACAAATTGTCTTGTTTTCCTTGGTAGTATCTTTGTCTAAGGAATTGTGACTAACGTATCGTAACCAGAGGAGACCAGGTCTATGTAGGTCACTATCATTTTGATCTTGTTCTGCTCCGATGGGAGTAACCATATTATTCTGTCTCTATAATTTAATGGGCCAAATGTATCTGTGTTGTAACTTAGACTTTCTGTATTTACTCAATTCTAAGATGAAGATTTTCTCTACAGTTAAGTCCCTCATCTTAGAGTTGCATACAGGGGTGGTGTGGGGCCTGGCAGCTGCTGTGGCTCTGGCTCCAGCCCTTACTTGGGGACAGGAGGAGCAGAGAGGGAAGGAAGTCTGGAGGCTCCTCCTGTCCCCAAGTTAAGGGGTGGGGTGGCAGGGGGGTAGGCATAAGCAGAGGAGGTAAGCTGCCTGACCTCCCCATACCACCTGCACACTCACTGTTTGTTCCTCTGCAGCAGTGGGAGGGATGAATTAAAGATGACCCTCCCATAATTAGATTCTATATGTGGAAAATTATAACAAATTTATACATTTTCCATGTATAGAATCTAATCATTGGTGGGGGGGGTGGGGGGGGGTCATCTTAAATTTACAGTAGTTGGATGTGTGCAGGGGATGAGCTGAACAATTCTATAGAAACCTTTTGGGCAACTTGTAAGAGCTGGTTTGGCAAATCAGAGCATGCTTCATGCTTCTCTCTGAGATTCTGATGCCATTTTATTCAGAACATTTGTATTCAGAAAATTTAGTTATTTCACCCTTGGCCCTCAAATAGATGTACTAGGTAAAGAGGATAGCACTGTGGGTGTGCGGTACTAAAGGAACCAGGCCTGTTAGGCAGCGAAGTGGCTAAGACTGAAAGCAAGAACCACATTTGGGCTACAGTGCAAGCTAAGAGGCTCAAATAGCTTTTTTCAGAGAATGTTCATGTTCCCTTTGCTTCCTGGCCTTTAAGTCTCTTGTTGCTAGCTGTGATTTTACTCCAGTGACTAAGAATCTGTTTTCCCTCTAACCATGCTAACCACATTGAATTGCTCCTGTTAGAAATAGTTTTCCTCATCACTGTTGTGTCTGAATTCTTCAACAAACCACAAACTGACACTTGTTCTCCTTTTTCTTTCCCCACTCTTTTTAGGGGAGCCTCGAAATTTTTTCAGGGCTTGGACTGGTGCTTGGCCCACCTCTAGGGGGGTTTTTGTATCAGTCCTTTGGCTATGAAATCCCTTTCATAGTGCTAGGATGTGTAGTGCTGATCCTGGTGCCTCTGAACATGTACATCTTACCAAAATACGGTAGGCCTCTCTTCCTCCTTGGGTCAGCGATTCAAGCTTAAGACAGGAAATTAAAAGACATTTTCTATCCCTACAGCCTGATCAAGTTAGTGGCAAAAATCCAGCTGACTTCAATAGAGCAGGATCAGGCACTTGTTTGACGTAACTGAAAATAATGGATGTAGGTGGCTTGAAATGAATCTAACTTTTTGTGTCTTGTATGCAAACAGTAGTGCTCTAGTATGAAAATGCACTGAGACTTTCTCAGCATCATGTGTCTTAGCTTTAGCGTGTGTAAATGATTGGTTGGCTTTGCTCAGTATCAGCAAGGCTACTCTGAAGCATGTTGTTGTTGTTGTGATTAAGAAATATGTACCATAGATAGCACATGAGTAACAAAACCTGGAAAAATCAGACCTGCGTTAAGGGAATGAGAGGTTCTTGGGTGCTGCAATACATGAACAAGAATTTGCTGCATTTTGAGGCCCAGGACTTTAGAGTCTGTGAATCCATTTCATTAGATCAAGTCTCAGATGGCCCAGTTTTATGATGAAATGTTACTTGACGGTAGTTTTATGTAACAATAAGAGTCTGGTATTGGAAAAAGGTAATCTCCAGATTGCCAGGGCATGACACTAATGACGCTTTCATTGTTGCATAATGGTGGGCGGTAAGTTAACAATGACTAAATGTTCTAAGGCTCTGTAGAAAGTTCCTGAAAGGAAGTGCTTACTTTTGTATCCTGCTTACTGTGGTTAGTAACACTTTGACAGTTTGTCTGTCTTCAGATGATGTCCATATTTTGAACACAGTACAGATTATGTTGTATTCAGCTTTGGGTTTCTGTGACCTGGAAGTTTACTGAACCAGTGATATTGTTGGTGCCTGTAAGCAGTAGTCACACTGAACATTGTCTCACTGAGCCCAGTGAAACTGCACACACGTTTAAGTGTTGCAATATTAGAGATTCAGGTAGGAAAAAGTAAGCCTGGACTTTTGTTAATATGTCCAGTTTCCCTGGCTGGCTGGAAACCCCTGATCTTGACATTCTATGCAGAAATGACCCTCAAAGATTTTTCTTTTTTTTGCCTCCATTTGTTTCTGAAATATCAACTTTTATCAGAGTGGGAGGGCAAGTTCATTAAATCTGGGAAGAAAGAAAATGGGTCATGAGTATCTCCAATAATTTGAACTACCAAAAAAATATTCTTTATTTTCTTCTCTTGAAACAGATTCAGCCCCTAGCAAGGACTCATTCTGGAAGCTTATTCTTCTGCCAAAAGTTGTACTTCTCTGTCTTGCTATATTTTCATTAAGTGGATGCTTGGGTTTTCTGGATCCCACAATGTCTCTCTTTGTTTCAGAGAAGGTGAGTCATCTTAATGTGCAAGATGAAATTGATTAATGACTTGACAAACTTGAAGTATTTGATTTTACGATATTCAGATTAAATGTCCTAATATATTCACTGCTCCTACTGCATAATGGGGGTGTGCGAAGCGGGCCATATTCAGTTTGGATTTGGATTCGGCAGGATTCGGGTGGGGGACAGTAGTTCAATTAATTGATTCGGATCACTGTCCCAATTTGATTTGGCCGAATCCGAATCTGAAGATTTGATTCTGATATGGAGAATCAGCGATTCGGCCATAGACAGAGCTTTAAATGTTTTTTCTACATACCTCAAAGTACCAGGCATGGCTTAATGAATGCTGCAGTGATGGGACAGATGGAGCGTCCCACAGGAGCGGGGGGGGGGCCCTGTGTGCTTGGCGGTGGCTCCCCCTGCGCCCTCCAGCTCAGTGATTGGCCACAGGGTGACCCCGGGTGCCTCCCCAGACCCAGGAGGCACCAGTCACGGGGGGGGTCCCCCTCATGCTCCACAGCGGACCTGGAAGTGGATTGGAAGTGCTTCTGGTCCACTTCCAGGTCCACTGCCGAGCGCACTGGGGACCCCCCTGCACTCCTGTAGGACGCTCCATCCCCCCACCATCTCAGCATTCACAAGCCATGCGAGGTACGTGGAAAAAACGTATAAAGCTCTATCTATGGCCGAATCATCGAAACGCTCCAAATCTAATCAAAGGCTTTCGATTTGGTTTGGAGAAATTAATGGGTCTCCTGATTTGATTCAGATTTGGAGATTCAGCCACCGAATCAGGCCGAATCTCCTCCAAATTGAATTAGCAACCAAACCTGTTCACAGCCTTACTATGTAAGTATTAACTTAGCTTCATACTATATGGGTAACTCACTATTTAGGGTTGTCCTATATTACTGACTTGACATCACAGGCAGCTGACACCTATGAATATAGGGTCCTAGGTTCCCTTAAATGTGCTTTTTCCAGTTTACTAAGCTTTCAGTTATGTGAGCAAATCAAACTAACTTTCACACAGCAAGCAATTGTTGTACTCATGTACTTTATCAGACAAAAGGAGTAACTCCTGTATCTGTGATTTAATGAAACTGATGCTTTTTGACTCCATATTCATTTTTAGCAATACAAATGGCTTAAGTTGTTGCAAAACAAACAACAAAATCCACATGTTAACAGATTTTAACTTCCCTAACATATAGAAACATTTTTTTGTCTGAGGTGTTTGAAATTAAAGTCTGTGTTAATGTGTTGGATACATATTGACTTGACAACTCAGTTTTTGTACTATTTAATGACAAATGCTAATATTTATGCCTGGAGAGAGAACTTCCAGGGCTAAAATTACAAAACTGCTGTTGGTGGAGAGGCTTCTGCTATTTGTTCCCCTTTGTTTCAGTAGCACAGTGGCCACATGCTCACCTAGCATGAAGGTGATCAGGTTCAATTTGTTCCTCTTCCTGAGGAACTTTGAACCTGCAATTTGCCTCCAAACATAATTCCCTGACCACCATGCTATGGTATATTCTTGGTTGGTGTGCTGTCACTCTCCCCCATTCAAGAAGAGTGGAATGAGATCAATACATATTTAGTAGAGCTAGATTGAGGTTGCTTCCAGTAGTACCCCCACCATTAGGCTGAGCAGTGTCATTCTTGCTCTCATGCCCTCTGTCTGAATGAATGTATTCCATGCAAAATGGAATGCCTCAGAATACTTTGTAGAGTGCTGGTTAGGGCTGGAGATCTTATTCAAAATCTACTCTACCTGATTTTTAAAATGGGGATTTTAATCCTGGGTTGGAAAGGGTAAGATTTAGGGTCCCTGCCACCTGGAGGTCCCTTTCAGTTCCTCTCTCGAAAATGCGTGCAGTTTTAGAATCTAAAAGGAATATATCAAAAGCAAGCAATGCTGTAACATCTACTTGGTTGGAAGTGATGAACTTTTGTCATGTATTATTAACTAACAGCAAAACTGAACATCAGATATAATTCTGGCAGCACTTAAATACCAGCCTCAGTAATAGAGATTTCACACATGTGAGAGTTAGAGCTGGCAGCGTAATGGACCGGAGGCAAATCTTGAACTGTGTTTGTCTTTGGAGTGGTAGAAGCTGAAGGGGAGAATGTGGCTTGGAGCTGATATCAGACTACTGGAAAACATAATTTGGGCAGAAGTAAACAAATGCTAGACTTACCACAGTGATTTCTGCCAGTTAAACTAAAATGTGGTTCTTGTGGAATACTTTAATACTCTATGATGTTTTTACAGTTCAAATTACCAGCTGGCTATGTGGGATTAGTGTTCCTTGGCTTGGCACTATCCTACTCCCTGTCTTCACCATTACTTGGGGTCTTAAGTGATAAAATGCCGGTGAGTGTCATTGTTTGTTGCTTGGATTTATACCACATACATAGTGCTTCACAGCTTGTAAGGTAGTCTTTGCCAGAAGTGCATATGCATCACTTTTCTACTAAACAACTAGCCACCTAAATAGTAGTTCCCAAGGACAAAAGAACAGGCTTCGTAAGCTCAAGATGTATATTGTCACCTCTGTGGCAGAAAGCAAGTCGTGAGAGTGAGAGCCTTGAATGTCATTTCAGTAAACCTCACCATTGCATGCAGACTTTGGAGCCACATCATTTTGTTGGTAGAACACAGGCTTCCTGTATCAAGCTTAAGATGCCTTCAGCCTCCTGGTATTCCACCTCAAAGGCTCCCAGTGAAATCCTCTGTCCAACAATACTTGATTGGGTAGAGGTCACTGGCACAGAAATTGATAGATTCAGCACTGGCAAAACATTTATGGAGTCCCAGTCTTTCCCCACAAACTACTTCTGTAATAAACTCTTTTGAGGGGGGGGGAGGTGGCGGGAGGGGAGGTGGGATTGAAGTAGCAAATTCTAAAATCTCATCTGGTAACTATAACAACTGCAACATCTTATACTTGAAAGAGGCAATATTGTGGTACCATAACTACAGCTAACTGGCATGTATTAAGCTTATAACGACCTTTACTATATTGTGACAAGGAAAGAATATTCACTGTGTCCAGGAAAATTATTCTAAATCTAGCTTCTTTTGGGAGAGGAGCAGGAAAGTTTCTGCAAAAAGAAATATTTCCAACTAAGACCTAGCTCCAAAAAAAATGATTATAATGGCATGGTAGACATCAGGGGCAATTTTACACATGCAAGCATTGCAGCACTGGGCACTATGAAAAGCGCCTGGCACTGTATCACTTGCAGTTGTGTAAGTGATGAAACGTGAGTCAGCATACAGAAAAAGGGGGCGGTGAGCTTTTTGAACTAAAACATCTTCTATGTGTGTTAGTTCAAAAGCGTGGTACCGCCATTTTCTGCGTGCTGGTGTGCATTTCACCACTTATACAATTGCAAGCAACATGGTGCCATGCATGTCAGCTCACATGCAGAGCTCGATTATTTGAGTCTGCTCCGATGTGCCAGATCTCCAGCATGTCCGGGCATGAAAATGTATGTGTATAAATGCCTGTAGGTGATATACCTGTCCATCTCGCTTCCTTTTTTTCAGTTGCCAGAGTGTACGTAGATGATAGATAGATAGATTTAATATAAATCTATTATTTATAATCAATATTTGCATATGAGGTAACTTAAATTTGCCATTTTTAAGCGTTTTTTGCTTTTTTTCCTCACAGCACCTAAGGAAATGGCTAATGGTCTTTGGGGGCTTACTGACATCCGTGTGCTATTTCTTGTTAGGACCTGCTCCTGTCTTGCACATTGAAAGGTACACTTTACTTGCTTTGTTTCTCTGAGCTACTCTTCTTACCATATTTTCTTGCATACAACATACAGATGGCTTTGTCAGGAAATAATAATAGATTACTATTTTGGGAGCCCTAAATAATTGAACTAGGACTTTTATCTGGGGGAGGGGGGAAAGTAAACAGTTTTAATTTACTAAATCACTTTTAAATGCTTATTTGACAGTCAACTCTGGATGTTTGTTCTTATGCTAGTTTTGATTGGCTTTTCACTTGGGATGACTGGTATCCCACTATTTCCTGAAGTAATCAGCTGTGCATAGTAAGTATTCCCATCTCCCACACCTTTCACTGTTACTGTTATGGGGAAGCTCTGCAAATTTAACACTTCTCAAAGGGAATGGTTACCAGCTGTCTTATTTGGTAACACTTTCAGAAGTACACAAGTCACACTGTCAAATGTGTTTGTGTGGTCTTTTGAAATAAATTACTTGAATGCCAGGGGAGGCCCTGAATCACAAAAGCAGTTCTAAAAATATAACCCATTTTTAAAGGAATTTGGTAACATCACTGAGTTCCAGCTGACTCTCATAGCAAGGCGCAATACTTGTGTGACTAGTTCATATCCATAAGAAGGATAATGGCCAACAAATACCATTGGCTCTCTAGGTAACAGTGCACCAATAATTCTACCAACAGGAATCAAGATTACATACAGTGCAGTCTCACATGCCAGTATCATAGTAGACTGAGATCCCCCTGGTTCAGTATCCAGGCAAAGGGGCACAAAGGGCCCCCCTCATTTTTAAAGTCCATTTCACTGCCAGCCCATCTGTTTCTGCTCTCCTATGTGCCTCATCACAAAGCTAGGTAGGACATGGGTAATCAAATATCATACGGTCAAAGGAGGCAACACTATTGCTGAGAATATCACTTCTGAAGCCCTAGAGGTAGCGCTGCCTTATCTTCTTCTGGGAGATGGTGCAAGGAGCCTTATAGGCATGGCTCCAGGATGTGAAGGGGCTTCTGTCTGCTGTAATGGGTACCCTTGTATTTTCCTATTGGAATAATACACCTATACAATTCAGCATTTAAAAGGCAATTGATTGCACTTCCTGCAAATAACCCATGTCTATCTTTCTGCAGTGAGAATGGATTTGAAGAAGGGTTAAGTTTGTTAGGACTGGTATCGGGGCTCTTCAGTGCAATGTGGTCACTAGGGTAGGTATGCAGTTACTCTCTATATGCTTGTAGTGTTATGCTTTTTCCATCTTATAATACTATTGCTGGCCTTTAAATGTCGACTAAAGAAAAACACCTAAATCTTTCCCTCGGACACTTTGGTAACAAGACTTTGAACCAAAGACACCGAAGTGCTGCCAGTAGTCATGGTCTGACTTGAGTCATTTCTCAGTCAAGGGGATTCTGAATACCATATTTACCCAAATCCAAGATGACTTTTAAGTTCAAGACCACCCCCCCCCCAAAAAAAAATTAGATTTTGTACATGAAAAATTCAGAGTTCCTTATTATTTTCCATATATAGGGCACGTCTATGCATATCTCTTTTAAGCAAGTTTAGCCTAAAACCACCATTTTTAAGGCATATTAAGGGCATGTGTCTACACATGCATGCCCTTAATGCGCCTTAAAAATGGCAATTTAAGGCTACGTGAGCTTAAATTTGATACTTGCATCAAGCAGGTATCAAATTTAGGCACGAATAGCTAAGTCTCATTAGCGTGCATGTAGATGTGGTAATGTGCAGTAACGCTGTGTGCATCAATGGATATACACTGTTAATGTGCATTAGCACATCTGGACATGCACTAATGCAACGTAGCTATTTGTTCCTAAATTTAATGTGCCTTAATGCACAATAGCGGGTCCACATGTAGACATGCGCCTATATTGCCTTCATGCACCTTAAGCAAAGGTGCATTGAATTTAGGCGCACACAGCTACATGTGTAGACACATCCATAGAATCTCATTATTGGAGGGTTATCTTTAAATGCTATTTAATAGGTATATTTTGGGCAGCTTGGGAAGCCCAGACACAGAGTTCCTCACTGGGATGCAACCACTGAGTAAGTAGAAGCTGGAGAGCTGGAGGAAAATGAGGTTACCACTGCCAGGGCCATGCCCAACCTGCATGCATTTGTCCTGTTGTTAATACTAGGTTTGGGCAGCAGTTTCCAGAGTTATAGCCTACCTGATTCATCAGCAGTGGCACCTCACAGGATGTAAGGACATGCGTGCAAACACTTCTCCCATAGTGACTGGGATGCTGACTGTTCTGGTCAGTGTGGGTCATAATAAACGAAGTACTGCATTGCCCCTGAGCAAACCACTACTGTTTCTAGATGCACATTTATAGTAGCATAGGGACATGACCAAATGCCCAGTGCATAGGCCTGTGGTGACTTCTGGTCACCACTGTAGTCACAATTGCAATTGCATGCCTGCTGGCAGCAGCCACTTTTTATTGGCACTACCGTTGCTGTTGTACTGCATCTTTAGGTGACATATGTTGAAGAGAGGACTTGACACCTTTAGGGCCACAAAGTGAAATCCATAGCAGTTACGGACAGACATGTCCATATAGTTCATTTCATAAGCTAAAAGCAACCTCATAACCCTTTTGCAAATATTTTCTAACTCCTGGATTAACTGTTGGTACTGTGCCATATGTAGTATCGGCCTCTTGAAGGCTCAGATCAAGTGTAGTACCTGCTGGCAAGACTTATGATAAGTATCACTCAGTGTCATCACCCTCCTTCCCACCCCAGACTCTCTTTCTCTTTCCACCTGATCTATCTTGTTTCTGTGGTACAGTCTGTCAGCACCTTGATTGGAGCCCCTCGGCCTCAATTTAATACAAGCAGGATGTTTTATGCCTCTCCAAGCTTTAACAGTGAAATAACACTGAGCGCTCTCTCTCTCTCTCTCTCTCTCTCTCTCTCTCTCTCTCTCTCTCTGTGTGTGTGTGTTTATCATGCATTTCTTGTTCTTATGCAGTAGGATGCTATTTGTAATACCTTGGTGTATTAGGAGCTCTGCCTATGTGCTAGCATTCTGCTGTGCACAGTGGTGTTCTAACACAGAACAAAAATGTAATACCTGTTTCCAATAGCTTATCATCAAGGTACAAGATATAGCAGATGAATATAAACAGACAGGGGAGTACAAAGAAACTGAGACAATATGTGTATGGTAGGCAATGGTTGCAACATACCAGTAGACTAACTGTTGTCTAGGGTGTGTGTCAGGGAGATAAAACAGTTGAGGCACTTGAAGGATAATAATGAAGTGTGAGGCGTGGTTTGAATGTTTGTGGGGCCACCATGGGGGAAAGCTCCTTTGCTCTATGGAAAAGTCTAGTAAATAGCTGCTGGTATGGGCTGATCAGAGGCAGGAGTTGACTTATGGTACCAAACAAATAATAATGGATAAGCATGAAGGGCATTCCTTATTTGCAAAGGGAATGAGGAAGCCAGTGAAGGGATACAAAGAAAATGGTGATAGGGTAGATGTTAGGCTAGGAAAGTGGCTTTTGTGGCAGCTTTCTAAATGTTTTTGAGCAGGGAAAGACTATTTGTGAAGACCAAAGGCAAAATATGTTGCATTAACTGAGATAATGAGAGTCTGGACAAGACTTGTCTAGACAGGAAAGGCTATACCTCACAGGTGTTCAAAAAATCTCTACAAGATTTTTGTAGTATGTCCTGTGATAACAAGGGATGAGGTAGGAATCAAAGTTGATGCTGAAGTTAAGAGTACTAAGTGATGGCCAGGATGCTCTGGTTGTCCTTGGTGGTGGGTGTTTAAAAAAGGAGGAAGGGAGGAGGACGCTTGATTTGGTGGTTAACCGTCAAAGAAGAGAGACATCAGAGATATTGGTTGAGATTTAAGTTGAGGCAGAAGGAGTTCGGTATGGTGTAAAGGGGTAAATGGTGGCTGAATTGGTTTCTAGATGAATTACCGGAACTAAAGAATAGGGTTTGAGAGTAGAGTTGTATGCAAACTTCACAAAAATGTAGGGTTAGAGATGAGGAGGCTCTTTCAACAGAAATGTTGAAGGAATGATTAGGGGTGAACCAGGAAAGGGTAGGTTTTCAGAAGGCAAGGGAAGCCATGATTTCTAGAAAAGCATGGCCTACCATCAAAGGAGGCTGTCTTGTCAAGGGGCTGAGGCACTGGGGATATCAGCAAGAGGAACTTTAGTAGACCATTATGGATGGAAGTCAGATTGGAGTAGATTCTAAGATGATGACTGACATAAACCTAAGAACCAGCTCCTGTACTGAGGTCTTAGTGCAGGCCCTGACAGCTTCTAGAGTGCCAGTGAATTTGGTGGGACTCTACGGATGCAGAAATCCAGAAGATCCAACTCAAAGGTAAACCCTTATGTACAGTAACTCTCTCAATGAAACATGACATCTCTGTTTAGGTGTTGAGTTTCCAAGCGAAGAACCTCTATTTAAACACCTTTTGTGCTGATGCATCACTTCTGATGTCTGCCAGGGGATGTCTCAGCAGTAAACAAGCTAGATATCTGATAATCTTGTTTTAGCTATTGATGAAGAATAACTGCAGTGCTTTTAATATTATTTTTTATGAAGTATTCATATTTTTTTCCTTTTGATATGTTCAGGTCTTTTGTAGGACCAACACTTGGTGGATTCCTCAATGACAAGCTGGGTTTTGAATGGGCTGCAACCATACAGGGAGGATGGCCATTACTGAGTGTAAGTGATCAAGTATTTTTGCTGGTTTTCTCTGCTGTGAGTGTAGAAACATATTACATTAATTAAAGTTTTAATAACTGATGGCTGTTTTCTTAAAGGGACTAGGAATTGGAATATTCTATATTCTTGAGACTTCGCAAAGAAAGAGGTACTGTGAAACTCTTATTATTGTCTTCCATTTTTCAAATCAGGTTTTATTTTGTCCCATTAAGAAAAATCAGGATTTCAGTTGTACTTTTTTTTCAAAACTAGCTTAGTTGTGAAATAATTTCAAATATTTCTTGTGGCACAGACCAAACTTTGGTGTATATGGGTTTTTTATTTATTTATTTTTTACCTTTTAAAGGAACCATTTTAACATGCTTCTATTTTTCTCTCCTTCCTTCTCTTCTTCCCTGCCCAATAAACAGGTCTAACCTGCAAAATCCTCCTGATACAAATGAAGAAAGAGCTCATCTGTTGGGCAGTGAAACATAGCCAGAAATATTGTTGGACTAGCTCTTACATTTGTGGCTAACCTAATGCTGAGACCAAGTGGGCTTAACATGGTATCAAACAATTCTAGTGGTGCTAAGGTGCATCTTCCCATAATAAATAGTGATTTGGTTTATTTTTAGTTGTGATACAACTACACAACTGAAGAAGCAATCATTTGACACTAAACACCGAATGCCTTTCTCTTCAACAGTCCTTCTGTGGACTGCTTGAATTTATAAATAACTGAGAGAGGTCACCCTGTTCAACTCTTCTTTGCACTGTACACTGAAGATATATTAGGCACCTTGTAAAAAGCATGTGTTTCACAACATTAAATTTATACCTGCCATAGACTGTTTCTGGACCCCCTGTCACTCCAGTTTTACTACGTTTTATTATAATTTTTTTAAAGAAAAAACTTTCAAAACTTCTTAACTGAGGAACTAAAATGTTGAAATAGCAAAGCTGTAAACACAATGCTCTTTTAAATAAAATAGCTAATTTCTAAGTTATTGAGTTTTCTTGAGCCAAACAAGATTACGTACTCCCATTTCTGCTAGTGCTTGAAATCTCCAGAGCCTTCCTAACAAATAGGGAGTGGTCAGCAATGACCAATCTTGGATGATGGGAGGATGAAATGTAAATGTTATGTTCCTATTTAGCTTGGAAACTATGTATGGTAGTGGGTTTTTTTGTTTTGTTCTGTTTTGTTTTAAATACCTGGGCTGAATTTGGCTCTTGAGAGTTTGTAGAATTGGGGCCTAGGTGCTCTGCTATTATTTAAAAGTTGCACAGCTTATGCCTACGTCTAGTCCTACCTTGCCTCTTGAGAGCAGCTGGAAGCTTTCAAACGATAAACAAACCAGTATTTCAGATTTCAAATTGAGTAGACTTTTGATTTCACGCTAAATTGAAGGCATTCCAAACTTGAGAATAATGAGCATCAAACTGAAGGAGCTGTCACTGAGATCGCCCTGCCAGCAGCTGCCCCCTGGCATTTTAATATCATAGGATTTCTTAATCACCCCAGCATAACTGTCATATTGAACGGAAAAGTCTCAGGTGTTGTCAGGATTGGGCATAAACAGTCTTGAGGAATATGGGGTTAAACAAGTACTTGAGCCTCTGGGGAATAACCAAGGAGTCAGTGGCTGCATTTACATGTACACTTTACTGTAGAGTTGACTAATTAGCTCCTCAGTAAAGTGTCACCATCTACATGTACTGGTATTAGGGCACAATAAACAAATTCTGCTGTAAAATAGTACTGTTGGGGACAGTATTATCTTATGGTGAGGAAATTTATTGTACTGAAACACACATATAGATAGTGATTGGGCAGGAGCCAAACTCCTGGCTGCTGCTTAGCCACACAGCTCCGCACTTTCAACACTCTTGTACTCCAGCCAGCCCCTCTGCCACATGATGCCACCACCTGGAGCCTGGGGCTGACCCTGTGAGCCTTGCCCTGGCAGCTGTCCTAGGCATATATGTAGATGTTGCACCCAGGAGCAGTGTACTCCAGCTTAGAGTGCTCCACAGTTATTGCTTCGCCTTAACTGCATGTGTAGATGCACCCAGTGTTATGTTCCTAATGTGTAGTGATGTCCATGTTTGTGGTCTAGGCCAAGCTAGAGGTCAGGAACTGGGGAGTTCAGAACACACAGTAGGGTAAGTTGGGAGTGAGGTACTGGGATCCAAGGCCAGGGCAAGGCAGGAACAAGGCACCAGGGTCTAAGGTTGGAGCACCTGTGGAGTGTGAGGCACCAAGCAGCAAAAACCCAAATGAATAGCTTGCAGTTATACTATCTGTAGCCTATCTTGCAGGTGATGAGCTTAACCTTTGCAGCTAGTGCCACTTTGAGACCAGGTGGTGCTGCTGAGGGCCCAGATTTTCTTTTAACTGTTCTTTCTCACTATGGATGCCTTCCAAGGGCCCTTGGGCCTGGCTTTTATGGATGTGCCAGGTACACATCTCTAGGTAAGAGGAATGAACACATTCCACATGTATCCCAGACCATGCTACTGGGCCTTATCTCTCCTAGCCTATAAAGTTTTAAGTTTTACCCCTTCTTTGCCTAGAGGAACCACATGCTTATTGTGCCCCTGGACTGTGCTTCTCTCTGGGAAGGGGTTTGTTACATCTAGTTTTGTAACGAACACTTGAAATATGGGTAGACCTTCATGATATCTGGGAGTCCAGAGATTAAGTCATGGAGTTGAGCTGTTTGATAGTGTGGAAAGGAACCAGCTTAGTCAATGGATGAACCAGTGGGATATTCTCAGTCAACAGCAGGTTTGGTTCCTAGTGAGAAATACAGAAGTGGCCTGGCAACCTTGGTCAACCTACTTCTTGTAAGCTTCTTTAGCAGCTTGCAGATACTCCTTCAGTTCCTGTGCTGTACTTGGAGGGAGTGTGTGTGTGTGTGTGTGTGTGTGTGTGTGTGTGTGTGTGTGTGTGTGTGTGTGTGTGTGTGTGACCAAGTCCATAGCTGCTGGAACTAAAGACATGGCTGGGACATCTGAGGTCTGGGTGTACATGAAGGTGGGAACTGTAGGAAGTAAAGAAAGGGCTCTGTTTCCTGGTGGCATGAAGGGTTTCTTTATAGATAATTTCTGCTATGGGCAGGAGATATACCTAATTGTCCTGATGGTGATTTGTAAAGCAGTATAGATACTGCTCCAGGGTTTGGATAACCCATTTAGTCTCCCTATTTGTCTGTGGGTGATGTGCGAGTGGGTCAGGAACCACATGTTTAGAGCAATTCCTTCCAGAACTGAGAGAGAAATTGGGCACCTCTACCAGAAATTATCTCTGCTAGTAGGTCATGAAGCCAAACAATCTAATTTAAAAAAACCCTAAAATCTACACTCTTT